ATAACAGAGATAAAAACATAAAACAGAGCAATAAATACAATCAACAAATAAGAAACAAGCCAATAAAAAAGTTCTGATAAAAACCTCACAATGGATGATAAAATAAGAGTAGTAAAAACCAAAATAACAGCTAACTGTTAAAAGCAAGGGTAAAATAGTGTGTCTTTAGTCTAGACTTAAAAACTGCCAAGGAAGATGTCAGTCGAGCTGTGACTGGAAGTTCGTTCCACATTTTAGGACCGGCAACAGAGAAAGCTCTTTGTCCGCATGATTTACTCTTTTGGTACGTTGAGGAGCAACAGGCTGGAGGACCTGAGTGTGCGACCGGGAGTATAAATCGCAAGAAGATCAGATAGGTACACGGGGGCAAGACCATGGAGGGATTTGAAAACAAAAAGCAATATTTTATATTGGACCCTGAAAGTGATGGGCAGCCAATGAAGGGATTTTAGAACCGGAGTTATGTGCTGGCGCCTGTCAGTACGTGTGAGGAATCTAGCTGCTGCGTTTTGGACGAGTTGAAGTCAAATAATTCCTGTCAAATAATTTGAATAACTGACCTTCCTATTGATTTGTTTTAAGTGAAATTAATTCTATTGTCCATTTTGCACTCTTTTATGTTTTCATCTTCCCCATTAACTATCAATCAAGCTTTATTTATAAAGCAGTTTCACACTTATTAGTGTAACGGGAAGTGCTTTACAGCGAGAAAACATACATAGGAAAGGCACATGCACAGAGTAATGGATGAAGGCTAAATGTAATATTAAGCACATAAACCACAATGGTGAGGTGGTTAAAGGGGCACTGATATTAGTTTTAGGAGCTTGTGTAGTCACGTGTCTCTGATATGTCCTCCTGCCTTTTGAGAAGCTGCAGATCAGCACTCAGTTTTATTCAATGTGCTCACAGCATCTGTAGGGATATGTAGTCTTTAAAGGTTGTCACTGCTGTAATAATTACCAAATGCTTTATTTGTGCCTCAAATGTGTAGATATTTATCCTATTAACTAATTTTCTCTATTTAAACAGATATTCTGGTACAGAGATGGCCTAAGCAGGTGACTTTACTGCATTATACTGTATTTATACATGTATTTATATATATATATATATGTATTTATTATATAGTACTGCAAGTTCAGTTTATTTCTTTCTTCGATTATTACTTTCAAATAGTTTAATTGATAAACCACACTTATAAAAAACTTAGCATTTTAAAATGCTAATTAATATTTTTGTTGTTTGATGACGTGAGCTAATTATAAAACCAGTCATATGTTGGCTAATTACTAAAGATGCTAACAATAGTGGTATGAAGGCGAGTAGGTGCATATGCTTAAGAATGATCTGGTGTTGGCTGGTTGGTTTGGGGACCCCAAAGGATGACCTGCTTAGGGTTATTTCAAGAATCAGAAAAGATGAAAACAAAAAAATAAAATAAAGAATCTTAGTTCTGGTTCACCTGGAGTAAAATAGGATAAAAATATAAATGCTGGGATTAAAATTGAAGACTTTTCTAATTGATGTACTGAATCCCTCATCTTTCATTTGTTCATGTCTTGTTGACAAATGAATGATTAAAAGAAGCTGCCTGGCTTCCTGTATCTGGAACCCTGCAGTGTTTGCGTTTGTTGACTTTCGGAAATGGTTGTGTCTGAAGGTCAGCTACATTTGATTGGTTTGCTGCAGGAGTGCTTACTGACACACAGCAATAGATGTACACAGAAGCTCTTGTTGATTATTTATGAAGCTAAAATACATTTGTGCTCAAAGGAAGTTTATCATCAGGGATGGGTGACTTTTTGCCCAAAATGAGTCGATAACTAAAGCCTAAGGCTGGAGATGCGTCACTTTCACTTTCAATTGGGAAATCTTTTCAAATTAGAACCAAAATGGGTTCAATTAGATAAAAACATGCCATCTTCTATATGTGTAACAATAAAATATTGGTCAAAGGCAAATATGTTGGTGAAACAGGGAGCATCAGCAGTGAAAAAGAGGAAATTCCAGGTGGAATTTTTCCTTTTCATTCATGGCCGATGCTTTGCCGGCATCTTTTGGGGATTTTTTTCTCTGACCCAACAAGCCCACAGAGAAGTTTTTATAATTGCACCTGATTCAACTTCCCCTCTGGTTAAAAAGGTGAGGAGTGCTTTAATGAGACACACGACTCCTCATCCTTGTCCAAAATTATTTTCTTCACCTCTCCTTGAATTGGAGACAAAGTCAGTATAGACAAAAAAAAGTCTTTACAGACAGAAATGAGTCATGGTGTTTTTTGCTTTTCAGAAGATTACAGCGTGTGCCTCGGACTTTGTGGAAATGCTTGAGTGGGTGATGTGGCACACAAGTTACACTGAAGCAAAAGCGTGAAAAACTTTGTTTTCTAATTACAAATATATTCATCTAAATGGTTTAATTTCATCTTTACTGACATTTTTGTGATAAATTAAATATTTCAAATTCTGATGTTACTGGATACATTTCGCACAGTTGTGTGTAAACTTAACTGCTTCTGTTGTCGACTCCGGTCACTGAGAAGCACCGAAACGTGTGAGGGCCTTTGGCTGGACACTGCCTCTGAAGAGACACAAAAGCGGAGTAAAAACTTCTGTGTGGACGAGTGAGTCTTTCTGTCATGGCTGCTGACTGTGTAGCTGAGGCTCGGCGGGAGAAGAGTACCCGATGTGGTGGATAAGTGCCGGTGATGGGAGACGGATAGAAAACCTGAGTGAAGCTCAGGAACATGATGTAGCTCTGCTGACGTGTTCCATTTAGCTGTGTCCCCAAAAAAAGAACATGAAGAACAAATCAAAGAGGAATTTGGTAAAAAAAGTATTCTTGAAAAAATAACACACACAGAAACTTTATCTACAAATGCTGAAGTTTTTCCTGATGGCTTCCCTGCATTAGCTCTGCCACAACTGATGCACAGAAACATTATATATATATACATATATATATATATATATATATATATATACACATATATGTATTAGTGTGTGTCTAATTAGACACACACACACACACGTGAATAAAATTGTTGGTATCTTTGGTCAATAAAAGAAAAACCCATGGTCAGAAAATTAAATTTAATCTGACAAAAGTAATAAAAATCCTACAAAATTTATCCAATGAAATTCAGACATTGCTTTTCAACAATCAACTGGATTATTAAAAAAATAAACTGACAGAACAGGCCTGGACAAAAATGATGGTACTGCTAACTTAACCTCCTGAGACCTGAATTTGTATTTGATGTGATGTAAAATAAAATTAAATAAAAAATGTTGACAGATTTACTAGGAAAAAAAACAGAAATAAAAGATATATTTTACTTGAATTCAACATCAAATGTTTCTAAACAGTTAAAAGGTCTAAATTGAAGAGAATAAAATATTCTAGTGCAAGAAGAATGTCCTCATATGTGGACACAGGATCTCATACTTTGTTGCACAACCTTTGATTACCGTAACTGTCAATTAGACTTCTGCACCTCTCAGCAGAAGATTGATTGATTGATAGACTATCAAGATAGGTAGAAAGATTTGTTTTATTTCCATTCTTTAATAGTTATCAGATTGCCTAATATGTTCCTTTTACACTGCAGAGCATTTATTCTTAACTGATGGCGCCTGCGTTTCTGATGTGCATTCCCCTGGAGCGGGTTATCCTTAGTGACACTCCACTGGGATATTTAACATGACTAATGGCAGACAGCTGCAGAGCATGCAGTGGCTCTTAGCGTGGGCGTCTGGGAGACCTGTCTTGTTGTGCCTCGTCAGGCTTTGGATTGTGACAGTTGAAGAAAATTCAATTAATTTTGGCTCAGAATCCAGTTGCAGCATGACCACAGCTTCTGCCTTATTTCTCATTGAGCTCTGACCACTTTTGGTTCTCAGTTATAATGTCTTCTCAAAGGAAAACACCTTTTTTTAAATTTTGTGCGTGCATAATTATATGTATGAAGGTATAAGGAAAAGAGAAAAATACATCTAATATTTACTGCAAGGGCCTACATAGGATTGCTGGAATTCATTCATTTTGACTCTTAAAGCTAGGGTTTGTAAACATTTTGAAGAACCTTCAAAAACGCTTGCACTGTGGTGACGCAGACGCCTCTAACAGTTTAGCACACTAACTTAGCTTGATTGCTAACTCGATCTACATTCATTGTCAGTGTGTTAACTTCAAGCTAACTGCGGAAGAGTCGTGAGGGGAACGAAAAGGGAATTATCTTTTGTGTGTTGAGCTAAGTGATTAGCATAGCGTCGGACCATTGGTTCAGCTTGTAGCGTTAGCGGAAGTGTGCTAGCATTTCAAGTGCCGGACTCCTGCCGATTTTAGATGTTTCCCTACTGAACACTGCAGATTGTAATGCAAATGAGTGATGAGCAGCTTTTGCTGAACTTGATGAAGGCTGAGGAGATGGTTAAACAGTTAGAATCGGGTTTGTCTGAGCAGGAACGTATCAGAAATGTAGCCACAGCAGTCCTTTGTTAGCCATATCCTGCTGGAAAAACCAGCATAGACCAGCATAGCTGGTAACCAGCATAGACCAGCATACGTTGTGTTTTGGTGCTGGTCTAGCTGGTCAAGCTGGTCAAGCTGGTCCATACTGGTCTAGCTGGTTTATGCTGGTCCAGCAACATCAACCAGCTAAACCAGCATGCACCAGCAAAGACCAGCAAGGAAGCCACGCTGGTCTTTGCTGGTTTTTCCAGCAGGATTGTGTGTGTGTGTGTGTGTGTGTGTGTGTGTGTGTGCACGGTATGAGGTGTGGCTTTCAGCTCCTTCCAGAAGGGGAGGGGGAGCTAGGACAGGAGCTTTAGCCATTCAAATAAAAATATCTCGTCCTCCTTTCCTCAATGACATCACACCAATTTTTATTGTTCTCAAAATCTTCTGAAACTGTTTAATATTTATTTTATTATAAGCACAAAATGTTCTACTTCAGTAAATTGACCTCATTTGTATTTTCTTTTCCTTTTCTGCAGACGGTTCGTCACGGTTTCCCTTATCAGCCCACAGCTTTGGCCTTCGACCCCGTGCAGAAGATTCTTGCCATCGGTTCAAGATCAGGTGGTGTACGAATGTATCCTTGAATTTATGACGTCTTCCAAGGTTGTCCAGAAGACGTTAATGGTATTAAAACACTACATCACTCTGTGATTAGATTACCTGACCTTTGCCCTTGTGCAGGGCCGAACTAAATAATGAAGCACAACCATAAAAAGTGATCACCTTTAAATCTTAACATGAAAAACTAATGCACTCAAATGGAACCTAGAAGAAGAAAGGCTTGTGTTTTATAAAAATATAGTCACTAACATCTACCCTCATACAAGTTGGTGGCTACATTTTCTCCTGCGGCAACGATCCTTCCTCTCCATTAGCTTCCTGCCCCCTTTACGATCCTCACCCATCCTACCCTGTCGTTTCATGTTGCTCAGATGTCGTGTTGCAAGCTCAGAAATGTCCATCTGACAGCCCGTCTCCTGAGTCACCCTTTATAAAGGACATGAGAGGATTTGTGAGTGTAGCCCAGGTAGGACATTACATCCTCATAAATACCGAGGCCTCGGAGCGTCCCTTTAGGGAACCTGAGCTGAAAGCAGCAAGTGTTAGTCGCTGCTTCAGCGTGTGGGTCTGCTCTGACAGAAACAGCAAAAAAGAGACTGCAATGGAAGCGGATGTTACAATGGGTTTTTAAAAGGGCTAAATAGAGAATGTGTGAGATCATTCAAACCTCCGTTATGTGCTTGCTTTGCTCTGATTTTTCTGCATACACCTGACTTGGAAGCAGGGCTGAAATTTCAGCTGGATGAAAGCGCTTGAGGGATTTAGCATTTGTATTGACATGCTGCACACACCCTCTTCAACTCCCATGTGGCTGTCACCGACTCTGTCTGTCTCTCTCAATTGCTCCGCCACACATACACACTCTTTTTTCAGTTTCTTAGCCTCACCCTCTAATGTCTTCTGTCTAGAGGACCTTGTTTTTCTCCTTCTTGTTCCTTTTCCCGTTTATTCTGTTCACCCTTTCTCTGTCCTTCGTTTTGGACATTCCTCCCTTTCTCTCCCAGGCTCTCCCCGACTCCTCTTCTGTCGTGGATTCATCTGGGTTTTTCTTATTTTCATTTCAGACTTTATTTTACTTTTTCCAAAATTATTTTTGATCTCCTTAGATTGAGACTCCAACATCAGGATGCCAATATTTATTGACTGAGTGGGACTTTGTTATGTGGCTCCTTTAGAGGGTAACTTTTCCCAGTGCAGCGTATGGATTTATGTGCCTGTGGGCACCAATCAGGTCTTTGTAGTAGAGTGGCTAGACTGAGGCCTTTTCTCAGTGAAAGGCAGATGATAGCCTGCTGAGAATTTGCTGAAAGGTGCTTGAATGACTCGTGCCGCCATACGGCAAAACCCTCCGACCCCATGAAAGGAAGATTGATTAATTTGGCAACAGCACAAGTGAGAGAAACATGGCCCTGGAGTTTAACAAGGTGAAAACTGCAACAAACTATAGATGCCCGCCTACTTATTTCTACACCGATTTAACTGAAAACAAAATAATAGTTTAAGGAATGTTTTGGTCTGCGAGGTCCCTCCTCAGCAAGCGGCTCCACAGTCCCTGGTTCTCTAGTATGAATGCTTTGTGAGTACATCTTTGGGGGCAAAAAACTGACGCTCCTGTTTCAGGAACCAGAAGTGAGTCAGAGGACTGGTGAGCAGCACACGGCAGGATTTGGAGTCTCATTTCTTGATATTCAAATGTCTGGCCTCTGATTGGCTAACAGTGACATTCAACTCTTGATTCCATTTGCCCTGCAATGTTGATGTTTTATCTCCACAAATAACACAAGCCTGAAGGAGTTCTGCCGTGCGGTGGAATTGCTAATGCTAAATGTTAGCTTCTACTAGCCGTGACGTTCCCATGAATTCAATGTGACGTACAATTGACAGGCTTTTCTAATATGAGCCTTTCCCCATCCGTTTTCTATCGGCAGCTTATGCAAAAAATACGGGTCGAGGAGCATTTTCACATTTAGCCTACAGTCAGTCACAGATCATATTTAAAAAAAACAAGTAAAAAGTGGTTTCTTATAGGGATGGACAATATATCAGCATCAATATCGTATCGGCTGATGTTAGTCATTTTTTAACTTAACGGTTCGATGAATAAAACCGGGCCGATATTAAAAACCAATATTTATTCCATCTCGTCTCCATTTGTTTGCCTGTTTCAGAGGGTGAGGGGGGTGATGTGTATTTGTTTAGTCATATGAATGAAATCTCAGAACTGTAAATGTGTGTGGTGTGTGTACATAATAACGTAAATTCAGCTTTAATCATTTTCATTCTATACAAAATCTGCTGATTTTAGAAACATTAATGTCAGTTTATTGGTATCGGCAAATATTGGTTATCGGCCATTACGGTGATCTTAATATCGGTATCGGTCCAAAACTTTCATATCGGTGCATCACTAGTTTCTTAGCAAATTTGTTTTATTGCCAGAACAGAACACACATTAACTTCATCACAGATAAACTTAATTAATGATAGGATGTAACTCAACTGAATGCATAAAAAGGCAGAGAGATGGTACAAAGATTTAAGCACCGCGACTCAATCAAACTCCTGTTTTCGTCTCCTACCATAGTCTAGGCTCCTCCCACTCAGTGGACACGGTGCAGTCTTTTTTAGGTCGGTGTAAAAGATTGGCACTCTAGCTGGATAACAGTTTATTTTTTTATCGGGTGTGTGCGGCTAATATGGTAAGCATGTGGCAATATTTGAACAGATCTGTCTAACAGAATGAATAAAGCTTGAAGGCCAGGTGATGGGGTGAACAAGGTCAGCGCTAAATAACAATACTAATAATCTAACAAGAAAACAGATTTAAACTGATGGCTTACTGGTAGCCTATTTGGTATGGCGTTTAAAGCGTGCCACAACCCGTGCACGCGCATTGGGTCCACAGCGCGCGTGTGAACGGGACTCGCGAGCGAAAATATACATGGCAGCGCGCGTGTGAACGGGACTCGCGAGCGGAAATATACATGGCGAGAGGTCATTTGTGCACTGAGAGGGAGCAAACTGTGTCTGTGAGCGCACAAGGATGTGCACAAGTGACAAACCTGCGTGCGCGCGTTGTCAACGAGCACACGGCAGAGGAGAACGTGCGCGCGCGGCAGCCTCTGTGCGCGCTCGGCAGCCTCTCTGCGCACTCGGTTTCTGACTCCTGCTCGCTCGGCTGTAAGGGTTTTTGGCACTCTGGAGGCGTGGCCTGTGGCAGATCTTCTCTGTCCTCTGATTGGTTAGTTCACCCCGCACTTTACCCTCTATTTATATAAAAAAGTCTGATATTCAGCAGTTGCTGGCTTAGCTCAGCTGGAAGAGTGGGTGACTCTCGGCCCAGAGGATCCAGGTTCGAGTCTGGGCAAGGAAAATGTAGTAGACATCATGTTAATTTTTCTTAATTTCAGGTATTTTACAGTTGTGACCGTTCAACTGTCATTAAACGTCCGAATGTTTGCTGGGCAGTGTTTTAAAAAGTGCACATAAGCTAGATGCATATAAATAATTTAAATGTTAATTTAATGAAATATTTCTATTTTTTTCATTACCTCACCCTTGTTTTGACAAAAACGGAACCTTGTTGGATAATATCATGGAGAAACTATTTGTTCACAGTACATGGCTCAGTGAGGATCTGTGTAAAGGAGGAGATACTCAGAAATCTGTCTGCAGATTGTTACAACCCAGACTGGAAGTGGTGGGCTGTAATAAGAAAGGAGACCAAACAGAGGAGTGGGGGTTCAACAACTGATTTATTTAACAAAAGTAAGGATTTACTAAAGCAAGTTAGTGAACAGAAAATGGCCAGTGAGGACTCTCCACCACACAGGAGAGACCCAGTGAAAGCAGAAAAACAGTAGGCTTTGTAGGCAGCACCACACCCTGAGCCCAGGTGCCTCCAAGGCTGCTTAACCAGCTGCCTACAGCAGAAGAAAAACACAATTAAACACAAATGAAAACCCAATGAGATGGTGGGGGCATCACAACACGTTCAGGACTACCCAAACACCAGTAATTCTTGACTGCACTGATCTGCTTTAGTAAATCCTTACTTTGGTTAAATAAATCAGTTGTTGAACCCCCACTCCTCTGTTTGGTCTCCTTTCTTATTACAGCCCACCACTTCCAGTCTGGGTTGCAACAATCTGCAGACAGATTTCTGAGTATCTCCTCCTTTATACAGATCCTCACTGAGCCAAGTACTGTGAACAAATAGTTTCTCCGTGATATTATCCAGCAAGGTCTTGTTTTTGTCAAAACAAGGGTGAGGTAATGAAAAAATAGAAATATTTCAATAAATTAACATTAAAATTATTTATATGCATAATAAAAAAAAACATGTTTTGAAATATATAAAGTGCACCAAACTTGACTCAGTCCATTCAACAATTCTAAATGGACAATTATGTAACTCATCAATTAATTATTTGAAAGGATAATTTGTCAATTAAATGCTGAAAAAAATAAACAATACATTAATGAGGCGAGAACTTTTTAAACTTGAACATACCTACACCCACAAGTCTATTTTTACCTGGTTTAAACCATCTAGCTTATGTGCACTTTTTAAAACACTGCCCAGCAAACATTCGGACATTTAATGACAGTTGAACGGTCACAACTGTAAAATAATATCACAGGAATTAGGAAAGAATAATATGACATCAACTCAATGTTACTTGGCCGGACTCAAACCTGGATCCTCCAGAGTGAGAGTCACCCGCTCTCCCAGCTGAGCTATGACAGCAACTGCTGAATCTCAGATTTTTTTTATATAGATAGCTAGAGAGTAAAGTGCGGGGTAAACTAACCAATCAGAGGACAGGGAAGATCTGCCACAGGCCACGCCTCCAGAGTGCCAAAACTCCTCACAGCCGAGCGAGCGGAATTAGGAACCAAGCGCGCAGAGGCTGCCGAGCGCGCAGAGAGGCTGCCGCGCGCGCACGTTTTCCTCTGCCGTGTGCTTGTTGGCAACGCGCGCACGCAGGTTTGTCACTTGTGCACATCCTT